TCAGGAGAATTGCCTGAACCCAGGAGGCGGAGGTTGCGGTGAGCCGAGATCACGCCATTGCACTCCAGCCTGGGTAACAAGAGTGAAACTCCGTCTCAAAAAAAAAAGAAAGGAACAACCAGTACCAGCCATTCCAAAATCACACTAAAAGTTAAAGAGCATCAACATAATGAAGAATCTACAACAACTAACAGGCAAAACAGCCACTTAGCATCAAAATGGCAGTATCAAAATCACACATAACAATATTAACCCTAAATGTAAATGGACTAAATGCACCAATCAAAAGACACAGACTGGCAAATTGGATAAAAATCCAAAACCCATCAGTGTGCTGTATCCAGGAAACCCATCTCACATGCAAGGATACACAAAGGCTCAAAATAAAGGGATGGAGGAAGATTTACCAAGCAAATGGAGAGCAAAAAAAAGCAGGAGTTGCAATTCTCATCTCTGATAAAATAGACTTTAAAGCAACAAAGATCAAAAGAGACAAAGAAGGCCATTACATAATGGTAAAAGGATCGATACAGCAAGAAGAGCTAACGATCCTAAACATATATGGACCCAATGCAGGAGCACCAAGATACATAAGGCAAGTTCTTAATGACTTACAAAGAGACTTAGACTCCCACACAATAATAGTGGGAGACTTTAACACTCCACTGTCAATATTAGACAGATCAATCAGACAGAATATCAACACGGATATCCAGGGCTTGAACTCAGACCTGGAGCAAGCAAACCTGATAGACATTTACAGAACTCTCCACCCCAAATCCACAGAATATACATTCTTCTCAGCACCACATCACACCTACTCTAAAATTGACCACATAATTGGAAGTAAAGCACTGCTCAACAAATGCAAAACAACTGAAATCATAACAAACAGCCTCTCAGACCATAGTGCAATCAAGTTAGAACTCAGAATACAGAAACCAACCCAGAACTGCACAGCTTCATGGAAACTGAACAATTGGCTCTTGAATGTTGACTGGGTAAACAATGAAATGAAGTCAGAAATAAAGAAGTTCTTCGAAACCAATGAGAACGAAGACACAACATGCCAGAACCTCTGGGACACATTTAAAGCAGTCTCTAGAGGAAAGTATATAGCAATAAGTGCCCATATGAGGAGAATGGAGAGATCCAAAATTGACACCCTATCATCAAAATTGAAAGAGCTAGAGGAGGAAGATCAAAAAAACTCAAAACCCAGCAGAAGACAAGAAATAACTAAGATCAGAGCTGAGCTGAAGGAGATTGAGACACGAAAAACCCTTCAAAAAATCAATAAATCCAAGAGCTGGTTTTTTGAAAAGATCAACAAAATAGACAGATCACTAGCCAGATTGATCAAAAAGAAAAGAGAGAACAACCAAATAGATGCAATAAAAAATGATAAAGGGGAAATCACCACAGATTCCACAGAAATTCAAACCATCATCAGAGAATATTACAAACAACTCTATGCACATAAACTAGTAAACCTGGAAGAAATGGATAAATTCCTGGACTCCTGCATCCTCCCAAGCCTAAACCAGGAGGAAGCTGAAACTATGAATAGACCAATAACAAGGTCAGAAGTCGAGGCAGCAATTAAGAGCCTACCACACAAAAAAAGCCCAGGTCCAGACGGGTTCACAGCTGAATTCTACCAGACACACAAAGAGGAGCTGGTACCATTCCTTCTAAAACTGTTTCAAACAATCCAAAAAGAGGGAATCCTTCCCAAATCATTTTACGAGACCAACATCATTCTGATACCAAAACCCGGCAGAGACCCAACAAGAAAAGAGAACTTCAGGCCAATATCCATGATGAACATAGATGCAAAAATCTTCAATAAAATATTGGCAAGCCGATTGCAACAGCAAATCAAAAAACTTATTCACCATGATCAAGTAGGATTCATCCCGGGGATGCAAGGCTGGTTCAACATACGCAAGTCTATCAACGTAATTCACCACATAAACAGAACCAAAAACAAAAACCACATGATTATCTCAATTGACGCAGAGAAGGCATTTGACAAAATTCAACAGCCCTTTATGCTAAAAACCCTCAATAAACTCGGTATCGATGGAACGTATCTCAAAGTAATAAAAGCTATTTATGACAAACCAACAGCCAATATCATACTGAATGGGCAAAAACTGGAAGCATTCCTTTTGAAATCTGGCACTAGACAAGGATGCCCTCTTTCACCACTCCTATTCAATATAATTCTGGAAGTTCTAGCCAGAGCAATCAGGCAAGAAAAAGAAATAAAGGGTATTCAAATAGGAAAGGTGGAAGCCAAATTGTATCTATTTGCAGACGACATGATAGTATACCTAGAAGACCCCATCGCCTCAGCCCAAAAACTCCTGAAACTGAAAAGCAACTTCAGCAAAGTCTCAGGATATAAGATCAATGTGCAAAAATCACAAGCATTCGTCTACACCAATAACAGACTTAAAGAGAGCCAAATCAAGAACGAACTGCCATTCACAATTGCTACAAAAAGAATAAAATACCTTGGAATACAACTCACAAGGAACGTAAGGGACCTCTTCAAGGAGAACTACAAACCACTGCTCAACGAAATCAGAGAGGACACAAACAGATGGAGAAACATTCCATGTTCATGGTTAGGAAGAATTAATATCGTGAAAATGGCTATATTGCCCAAAGTAATTTACAGAATCAATGCTATCCCCATCAAGCTACCATTGACTTTCTTCACAGAACTGGAAAAAACCACCATGAACTTCATATGGAACCAAAAGAGAGCCCGCATAGCCAAGTCAATTCTAAGCAAAAAGAACACAGCGGGGGGCATCACACTACTGGATTTCAAACTATACTACAAGGCTACAGTAATCAAAACAGCATGGTACTGGTACCAAAACAGAGATATAGACCAATGGAACAAAACAGAGACACCGGAGGCAACACAACTTATCTACAACTATACAATCTTTGATAAACCTGACAAAAACAAGCAATGGGGCAAGGATTCCCTGTTTAACAAATGGTGTTGGGAAAACTGGCTAGCCATGTGCAGAAAGCAGAAACTGGACCCCTTCCTGACACCTTACACTAAAATTAACTCAAGATGGATTAAAGACTTAAACGTAAGACCTGGCACCATAAAAACCCTAGAAGGAAATCTAGGCAAAACTATCCAGGACATAGGAGTAGGCAAGGACTTCATGAACAAAACACAAAAAGCATTGGCAACAAAAGCCAAAATAGACAAATGGGACCTAATGAAACTCCACAGCTTCTGCACAGCAAAAGAAACAGTCACTAGAGTGGATCGGCAACCAACAGAATGGGAAAAAATTTTTGCAGTCTACCCATCTGACAAAGGGCTGATATCCAGAATTTACAAAGAACTCAAACGGATTTACAGGAAAAAAAACAAACAAGCCCATTCAAAAGTGGGCAAAGGATATGAACAGACACTTTACGAAAGAAGACATATATGAGGCCAACAATCATATGAAAAAATGCTCATCGTCACTGGTCATCAGAGAGATGCAAATCAAAACCACATTGAGATACCATCTCACGCCAGTTAGAATGGCGATCATTAAAAAATCTGGAGACAACAGATGCTGGAGAGGATGTGGAGAAAAGGAACACTTTTACACTGTTGGTGGGAGTGTAAATTAGTTCAACCATTGTGGAAGACAGTGTAGCGATTCCTCAAGGCCTTAGAAATAGAAATCCCATTTGACCCAGCAATCCCATTACTGGGTATATATCCAAAAGACTATAAATCGTTCTACTATAAGGACACATGTACACGAATGTTCATTGCAGCACTGTTTACAATAGCAAAGACCTGGAATCAACCCAAATGCCCATTGATAATAGACTGGATTGGAAAAATGTGGCACATATACACCATGGAATATTATGCAGCAATCAGAAATGATGAGTTTGTGTCGTTTGTAGGGACATGGATGAATCTGGAGAACGTCATCCTCAGCAAACTGACACAAGAACAGAAAATGAAACACCGCATATTCTCACTCATAGGTGGGTGATGAAAAATGAGAACACACGGACACAGAAAGGGGAGTACTAAACACTGGGGTCTATTGGGGGGAAAAGGGGAGGGCCAGTGGGAAGGGGAGGTGGGGAGGGATAGCCTGGGGAGAAATGCCAAATGTGGGTGAAGGGGAGAAGGAAAGAAAAGCACACTGTTATGTGTGTTCCCACGCAACTGTCTGACATGCTCTGCTCATGTACCCCAAAACCTAAAATCCAATAAAAATTTTTAAAAAATAAATAAATAAATAAAAAGAATTTTTTCTACTCACCTCACTTAAAACATTGTTTCCCAGTCACTAGAGTGGATCGGCAACCAACAGAATGGGAAAAAATTTTCGCAGTCTACCCATCTGACAAAGGGCTGATATCCAGAATTTACAAACAACTCAAGCAGATTTACAGGAAAAAAACAAACAAGCCCATTCAAAAGTGGGCAAAGGATATGAACAGATACTTTACGAAAGAAGACATATATGAGGCCAACAATCATATGAAAAAATGCTCATCGTCACTGGTCATCAGAGAGATGCAAATCAAAACCACATTGAGATACCATCTCACGCCAGTTATAATGGCGATCATTAAAAAATCTGGAGACAACAGATGCTGGAGAGGATGTGGAGAAAAAGGAACACTTTTACACTGTTGGTGGGAGTGTAAATTAGTTCAACCATTGTGGAAGACAGTGTGGCGATTCCTCAAGGCCTTAGAAATAGAAATTCCATTTGACCTAGCAATCCCATTACTGGGTATATATCCAAAAGACTATAAATCGTTCTACTGTAAGGACACATGTACACGAATGTTCATTGCAGCACTGTTTACAATAGCAAAGACCTGGAATCAACCCAAATGCCCATTGATAATAGACTGGATTGGAAAAATGTGGCACATATACACCATGGAATATTATGCAGCAATCAGAAATGATGAGTTCGTGTCGTTTGTAGGGACATGGATGAATCTGGAAAACATCATCCTCAGCAAACTGACACAAGAACAGAAAATGAAACACCGCATATTCTCACTCATAGGTGGGTGATGAAAAATGAGAACACATGGACACAGAAAGGGGAGTACTAAACACTGGGGTCTATTGGGGGGAAAAGGGGAGGGCCAGTGGGAGGGGGAGGTGGGGAGGGATAGCCTGGGGAGAAATGCCAAATGTGGGTGAAGGGGAGAAGAAAAGCAAAGCACACTGCCATGTGTGTTCCTACGCAACTGTCTTGCATGCTCTGCTCATGTACCCCAAAACCTATAATCCAATAAAAAATTAAAAAAAAAAAAAAAAAAAAAACATTGTTTCCTCTTCTTCCTCTACAGATACTGCTTCTGACCATCCAAGGGCAAGCACACTCTTCCTGAGAAAGTATCAAATGAGTGGTAAGACAGTATTGTTTCTGCCTTCAAGGAAACCCTAAAACTTTTCTGTCTTGTGTATTACAGAAAGTATTTAGAGAAACTCAGATATTAGTTAAAAATGTTTAACTTTTCATAGATTTCCTTGTCTTATTTTCATATGTGATATAATTTCCTTTAGTTGTCACTGTTTATGGAAACATACAGACTTTGTGTTTGCACATTTGGTGACTTTTTACCAACACAATTAAGTGGCCACATGATTTAGTGTAGTAGTCACAGATTTATGCCTTTTTCTTCATACGTCTTTGCCATTTTTCCCTTGCTCTAAAGAGTATGTTTTAATAAGGAGTGATAGGATTTAGGCCACAGCTTGGATTTCACTTGAGCAAATCAAAAGAATTCATTGTTTTAGATTGGATCTGTGATGTTGGCCTCGTTGTTCACAATGCTCTAACCACTGTCACATCCAAGTCGATGCTAGAACTTTTTCATTGGAATGTAATAGAAATGTAACATGCCCTGTGCTGTTTTCCGTATTAGCCTTAGTGTGTGAAACTCGTGTAAAGTTTCCATATCCTGCCTGTTTTAGGATGAGAATTAGAAGTGTAGGATTTTTCTGTACTGTTGCTTATGTTACATAACATTCTGTTATCTTACTTTATTTTCAAAAAAGCCATACACCATGTTTTTTCAGTTAATTTTAACAACAAGAATACAAGAACTGGGGGTTCTAGAATAATATCTGAAGTAATGCAGCACAATAAAAAAGGGGTTGTTCACCTGCATTTTCAAAGTTTGTGTGGACTTTGTCTGACTTGAGCTAGTAATTTCTGGTTAGGATTGTTCTATTTCTCAGTTTCTTCCAAGAGCCATGGGCTTCTCACACATAGAGTGTATGGAAGGAGAATAAAACTGATCCCCTGCCCCTGTCACTTCAGTGGTGAGAAATGTGTGTCAATGAGACCAGTTCACCTTCAAAGGAGGAGGCATTATAGGGACGAAAGTGTGGCCCAAGTCCCTCTTTGGAGCTTTTATTCTTTGGATCTTTGTTAGAACAAAATGTGTGTGCTGAGGATACCCTGTGCAGTTAGGTTGGCACACTCATTTTGACATTTAAGTTTAAGATAGGCTACCTTTCAGTTGAGTAAAGACCCATTTATTTTTTCAGTAATGTAGGAATAGATGACCGAGAAGTCATTTGGGATGCTTCCAGATATTCTAGTGCATCTCGAGATTGACCCCTGGCCAGAAACTGGTTCTTAGAGCTGTCAGCTATTAGATCCTGGTAATGAAAGTAAGCTGTGTGTAAATGTAGACTCAGAAAACAAAACACTGCTCCATAGGGGTTCAGAAATACAATAGGTAAACGTTTTTATTAGCTAAATTTCTCATCTGTCCCACATTTTGGCATTTTTATGAAGGAATACTTGAGACGGGATAATTTATAAAGAAAGAGGTTTTATTAGCTCACAGTTCTACAGGCTTGACAGGAGGTGTGGTGCTAGCATGTGCTTCTGGAAAGGGCCTCAAGAAGCTAATGATTGTGGTAGAAGTCATCTTTCACATGGTGAGAGGAGGAGCAAGAGAGAGTGGGAGGTGCCACAGGCTTTTAAATAAGCAGATCAGGCCAGGTGCAGTGGCTCACACTTTCAATCCCAGCACTTTGGTCTGCTGAGATGGGCAGATCACTTGAGCCTGGAGTTTGAAACCACCTTGGGCCCACGTAGTGAGACCCTGTCTCTATGAAAAATTTAAAAATTAGCCAGATGTGGTGGTGCATGCCTGCAGCCCCAGCTACTCTAGAGGGGAAGGTGGGAGGATCACTTGAGCCCAGGAGGTCAAGGCTGCGGTGAACCATAATCACACCACTGTACTCTAGGCTGAGCATCAGAGTGAGACCCCATTTCAGAACAATAACAGTAACAACAACAGCACCCCAAGAAGATCTTGTATGAACTCAGAGCAGGAACTCATTCATCACCAAGGTGATGGGGCTAAGGCACTTACGAGGGATCTGCCCCCGTGATCCAAAGACTTCCCCACCTCCAACACTGGGGATTACATTTCAACATGAGATTTGGAGGGCACACACATTTCCTAATTTGTTTTGCCTTTCCTTATGTACATGGGGATTCTTTCATTTGAACGTGATAGAATATGTGTTAGGTCAAAAAGTAAAACTGTTTTTAAATTTTACATTATGAGATTCATCATGCCAGATTATTTAAATGTTAAATGTTATTTAAAAATTTTTTAAATTGATTTTTTATATAGTGATAATCAGCTGTATCTTGTTTTATATAGTGATGGTCAGATGATTAGCAAGTACTTTTATTCTATGGTATTTTATTATACCAGAATTGATTAGTTATATTTTTATTTTCAGTGCAAGGAAAGAGGAGAAGCTTTCACCTATATTCCGTAAGTAAGCTTTTGAAAAGTTAAGAAATGAATTGTTTAAATTAAAAGTCTATCTGTCATGATTCCTTAGAAATCTAACAGGGACCCAGTGCTGTTAGTGTGATCCTTTTTTGGTGAATTTTCTAACTTTTTCCTATTTTCCTAAGTGTCAGATTTATGCAGGAAAGTCTTTAACTTACTGTGCCCATTTTTAGGGCTGTCTGACATTTAAGTTAAATTTAAATAATTTGGTTGTGATATAAAGATCTGCCTTAAATATTTAATCTTTTAAAATCAAATCAAATGGAAAATAGCAAAGTCCATTTTCTTCAATACTTTCTGCTGACTCCCTGTCACAACAGCTGAAAGCGCAGCATCCTCACTCCATTGCACCCTTATTTCCCTTTCCGTTTCTTCCACCTGTAACACATTTTTAATTATATCATGAATTGATATTTACATGATCATGACTATGCACATCATATTCACTGCTGAGTCATATAATGTTCGGAGTGTGCCTCCTCCTTGTACATCCTTCATTCTTTCTCTTAAATATTTCTGAAACCTGAACACTTCTTCACTTCTCCCAGATAACCTCCCTTTTCCTAGCCCATGATGGCTCATAAAGCCAAATAATGACCATTAGCCTCCAGCTGGTCTCTTTGTTTTCACATCCTTCATTTGTGTGTGTGTGTGTGTGTGGAATTGATTTTCTGACTATATTCCTTTGGCTCTCTAACAACTATTCTTCTCCAAGAGTTGTAACATTTGTCACATGCCTATCAAAAATATGTTTTATCTACTAAAAAATACATTCCATGTTTTTTCCAAGCACGTTTCCTTGGCCTTTTGTTATCATCCTCAGGATAGACTGTGTTTTCCTAGGCTGCCCTGCACCTGTTGGCCTGGGAGCTCTCTCTGAAATCTTCTGGGACCACTCATGTTGGGTCCCTGAGTCCTAGACTGTGCGTTGCCCTCTGCCTTGTGTTACTCCCCGGTAGTGCTGGAACACAGTTTCTGAGGAAAGGCTCATGTACACACATGTTTAGAGATCTGAGCTTTCTTAAAACCCCTCCTTTGATATAGAGTATAAAATTCTAGAGTGAAAACTAAATGTCATGGCTTGAAAACATTTTTCTATTGCATTTTTATTATACTGTTTTTGAAAGTATTGCCATTGTGTGATACATCATATGTAATCAATGTTTCCATCTGTCAAGTTTTTAGGACCTTCTCTATCCCTGAGATTCTGAAATTGTATCACAGAGCTTGGTATGGACCTTTTATTTTATTGTGGCCCTTAAGTCTACAATAAAAGTTAGAGAATTTTTCTGTGTGCTCTGTTTTGTTATTATTTTAGTCTAATGATTCAGATGTTGGACCTCTTAGACCAGTATTTCTGCATTGATCTGTAATTTCTTCACCTCCGATTTTCCAGTTTGTCTTTTGTTCTGTTCTTCGAGATTCTTTGACTGTCCATGCTAACTGTTCTATTGAATTTTTTAAAAATCTCCTTAAAGGTGTTTTAAGATTTGTAAAAAAGTTTTGCTCCTGAATTTTTACTGGTCCCAGGAATTCCTTTTCCCTGTTGTTTTGATCTCCCATTGGAGGCTTTGCTCAAATGTGTGGTGGTCTTTGGCTTTCTTTCATTGAAAGCAGGACATTTTTTTCACTGAGGGGTCTCACTGTAGGGATTTAAATGTCAAGGCAGCGTTTCCTTTGAGGGACATCAGTGTACTATATGAGGAAAGGAGGGTATTTTCTTTGCCATGGTTCAGTTTTCTTCCAAGAAGGGCCTCCCAATTTTCTGCCTGGGCAGTGCAAGCATGGCTGCTGGCTTTCCAGAAGCAGGGTTGGGAAGCAAGGTGGTTTCACTTTGTGTCTGCCATTTACTCCCATTTCCCAGGTTTCAGCCCTGGTAGGTCTGAGCTCAGAAACCTTCAAGTATAATATATCGAGAGAATACACATCCACATTCCTTTTATGGTGGGAGGACAGGTGGACCTGGGGTTCTAACCACAGATTTACTATTGAACTTGCCGGCTCTCTTGTATGTTTCACCCTACCTTCCCAGGTACTATGTGCTCTGATTTTGGAGACTGTATTGGGTTCTTCAAAATACACAGTATTGCTTGTTTCTGTTCAAGTCACTCCCTGTGGGCACCAGCGTTGTGCTTTCATGTCAGTTACCACTCCTCTATCTGCTTGTCACCTTGCAACATCGACTCAGAATCTGCTGTCAATCCTGTCTCCTGGTCCTGTGAATAGTGTTTATTTTATGACTAATTCTCATGAGATTTCAGAAGAAAGAGAAAATAAATTTGTAGTCAATCCATCATATTTAACCTAAATTTAGAACCTATATGTAAGTGTAAATCTAAGTTTAAATTGAACATAATTATGACATTAATTCAGACAATTTTCTAGTTATGCCTATAATAAGCATATTACACGTTTCCACTCAGGCCTTGTGTAATAATTCTATTCAAACTCCATACCTGCCTTGTGGTCCCATTGCTGTGCAACATAGATGGAGCTGATTTTGTTAGCGCACAAAATATTGGAAATTTTCAAGTTAGCTAAAAGTCATTACTTATTTTAAAAACATTGAAAACATGCCTTGGCCTCCCAAAGTGCTGGGATTACAGGAGTAAACCACTTCACCTGGCCAGGAGGAACAATTACTTAACATAGTTGAGGCAGTTTCTGTATTGACTATTGCAATTTCAACAAATGAATAGATACTTTGAAAGTGTTTTACAGATAGTTTTTCATCTACAGGGCTCAAAGCGTTCACTGTCATGTCTCTGATAGCACTGTGGATGAATTTTCACTGATTTGTATCTGTAGGAAGATTTACTTTCCAAATCATAACTGATTTAAATATTTGTCAAGCTCTTATTTAACTCCTTAATTTCTCCCACATTCTGTGCTCAGCGGCTGCAGGTAGGAGAGAAGGGGTCCTCCCTCCCCTGGAGAGGCTCATTTTCTCATGAGGGGGATGCTCTGCAGGCAATTGTATCATGTAACACGTGGTGAATTAGACTGATGAGTACACAAAACCAGAAATGTTTTGTGGTGTGGCTGCAGGCAAAGGGATCCCAGAAGGTGGATGAGGTCAAGCTTGCTGGGACAAGGGGGAAAGGAATAAATATTCCAGACAGACAGCAGCACGAGTGAGGCAGGAATGTGCCAGAATGTGCATCAAATAACTTAAAGAATGAAATCGATTAACTTTTGAAATGAATGCAGAGTATTCTCAGAAGTTCTCATTTGAGTAGTGTCATAGCAGTCTTATGGAAACATGAAGTGAAAGTTAAATTCCCAAAGTTGTTTTCATCGTCTAATTTTTGGATGTGAGAGAGTCTTAAAGCAGTACTTTTTCCATCCTCCCACAAGGAAACAGGCCCAGGGAGACCTATGGCCCCTCACTTGTTTGTTGACTGAGCAGCTCTGGCACACACAGCCTCTGACTCTAACACACTGGCTCCATCGCACTCTCTCTTGAATGCACACGCTTAGGATTAGTAACTTAGTAGATGTTGTATTAGGTCTTCATTTACTGCAATCAAATGCTCTAGTGTCAATATTGTTTAATGTATGACATTTTGTTGCAGTTAATGAATAACAGGAATAGAAAATCTCATGCTTTTTACTGCATAAGAAAAAAACATGAAATCCCATTTTAAAGTTTCCCATTATTTATCAAGGGAATTTATAATAGAGGCTTGCCAGGTTTGATGATCGGTGTCATATCAAGGGCAGCACTTTATAACCCATTTCTCAAACATCATGTGTGAAAGTTAAGAGTCTCCAATCCCATAGAGCTGCACATGATACCACACTCAGGCAGGTCACGGGTATAAAAAGTGCCTTAATGCTTTATTGTTTGACATTTTGACAAAGGGAAAAAAACACACACTTTTGTAAGTTCTGCCTACTGTGATATTTTTCTCTCTCGTCCTTCTTCTTCAGATACGTCCGTGGCATCTTGATAGAAAATACAGCTCGTGTTCCACCATATTGCTAGATAACAGCACAGTCAGTGAGCCTGAACTCTGCCACACATTAGAAAGGTGAGTACAACAAGGCTGCCAAGGGCTGAGTGACAGCCCCCAGTATGCTAAAAGCATCCCGGCTATCCACTGTTATTTCAGCCATTTGGTTGCCCTTTTCAACAAGCACTTGAAGAAGTTGATGTCAATGATATATGGATTTTTCAGGACCTAAGTATGAATTTTCTGTTTCTCTTTTAGTCTTAGACACTGCATGGTAAAAGGGAAAGCCAGTTAGCACATAAGCACTCGCAGAAAAAGCATGGCTATTTATGTTATGACAGTATTGAACCTAATGGACAGGAGAGGTGCTTTTTTTGGATGTTTCTAGGAAAAAATATTACTTTTTATGGGCCATAGGCCTAAGACGATGGGCACTACTTTAGAAACTACTCTTGGAAGAAGGAACAGCTTGTCTCCAGTGGCAGCATAGTGTGTCTACATTTAAATTTTCCCATCATGCAGCAGCACTTCATAGGCCACAATCAGAGATGCCCTTTCAAATCACCCTTGAAAGATGGGTTCAAGTTGGTTTAAAAAGCCAGCTCCAATGGAGATGCCCAGGAAACATTGTTAACATCTCCTTCGATTATGAGTGTTGATTTTCACAAAACAGTTTGACAAGTGGTACCTCAGAATGTAAATCTCCTTATCCCTAACTTGACTTTCCAGTCTATAAACATGACTAAATTACAAGCTTAATTTTGTCTCTAATGTACTAGTTTTTAAACTAATTTGTCAGTAAATATCTATCTTAGATGCTAATAATGTTGTAAGGTCTACTTTTTCACACTCCAATTTGCCTTCTCAAATTATTCTGAGCCTCATTTTAAATGTTCAGGGTGAATGGAAGGCCAGAACTTATCAAAGAGAAGCCACTGTTTCCTGACACACAACATCTGTGGATGACTGGAACATAGTAACATACATCCGAAGAGTTGTATTTGTTCATTCATATTTTGTTTAAACTAATGTGGAAGTACCTGTCATTAATATTGTGTGATGTAGTGTTACGCTGTGTGTTTAGCACTGCTTATTTTAGGAGAGCTACAAGTGTCATTGATTTTTGGATGTATTATAATGTTTACTAATAAATATTCTGCTAATCATGCATAGGTGATTTTAAATTACTTTATTTGGTATAAAGCACATTTACTCTGTGCTTTTAGGGAAACAATGACAAATGGGTGAGTAGGTGATGGTGAACTAAATCAGTTGAAGTGCAGGGCCAGCAACTTAAAAGCAAAACACTACAACACGACTGTCTGGCCTAAATGTGAGCATATGTACACATAGATATAAGCAACTTGCACAGAATGAAAGGTTCTATGGGCAGAAGAGCAAATGACAGGGAAAATATGTCATTATTCATACTTAATAACCATCTGCAGACACAAGTCTTCTAACAGCACATTGCCTAGCATTTTGGTTCTCCTATTTTTTTCTGTAAAGCCAGGGGACTCAAACAAAAGGAAAGTGCTCATATGGTACTGTTTTGAAGAGATGACTTCAGGGCCACTGAGAGGGTTCCCTCCCCCCCACCCCCCCGCCACCACTTTTAGAAATATATCTTCAGGCCTAACAAATGATAAAATCAGTTCTTACAATTTTTGTTTTCCCTCCACAGTGTGACTTTGGCAATATATTACAACATAAAGCACAGGTGAGCTTTTTGAAACCTGTCGTATTATTCCAGCTCATCACTTTGTGTCATACGAAACATGCTGTCAGGTCATAACTCTAGACATCACGAGCTGTAGAGTGCTTATTTTACAGTGTCACAGTGAATCATTTGTGGGATTTTTAGTCCGTAAGACTCTTTGAAATTATTAAGGGTTACAAAGTGTATTTGTTTATGTCTTTGTTTGCAACTTATTTGTAAAGAAGCAGTAAAAAGATACCCTTGCCTCACGCAAATATATAGTAAGAAAAAGGCATATTATAGAAGCTTTCAGGTAACTGTGGGTATTCTTTAACCCCACCAAAACTCCAGAAGTGCTAACTGATTAAAATAGTTATAGGTGAATCGTACATATCAATGAATTCGTTCACTAATAGTCACTGATCTTTCTTGTACAATAAATGGACCTTTCCCCTTACTGGCTTTTACAATATTATGCATTGGCTACTTGGTTTATTTATAGTGTCAAAAACTCACTTTCATTAGTATCACCACCATTATAAAAATGCCTTCAGATATGGAGATGCTGTCAAGCTCACAGTAGTAGGTATGAGTTTTCAAAGTCCTGATTTTTACCTTGAAAGTTTTAGCTTTATTATAGACAAATACTTGTTATTTTCCTGGAAATGACAGACTCACTTGACTTAATTTTATGGATAATAGTCAGTTATACTTTCAGATAAAAATGGTGTTCTGTGAAAAATTGGCTTGTTCAGCTCACAATTTAATCACAAGTGCTTTTCTTTAACATGACCGTACTTCAGTATGCAGAAGCACTTTATGTGAACTTTCTACTTAGAATACTAAAAAGAGAGGTTGAGATTTAATAACACCATTAATTTTTACTGTTTCATCAAGGACATTCTTTCATGAAAAATGCTACTTTAATAAAAACTGCAAGGGGCAGTGAAGAGTGGAATGAATACTGGTATAATTTGGTACCACTGCCCTTATTCATACTGAGAAACCATCAGTTTTACCCACTTTTGCTTTTAAACAGTCATTACAAGTGTTGAACAGGGAGAAAGCAATCAATGTCTTAATACTTTTAAAAAGTAATAAATTATTTGTGTGTTTTATTTTCAATCAGCTTCTCAGGTTAAATTAGTATTCTTGTGAGAACAGTTTGGGCCATACTTGGTGGTTGACACCTGTAATCCCAGCACTTTGGGAGGCCAAGGTGGGAGAATTACTTTGAATCAGGTGTTTGAGACCAGCCTGGGCAATGTGGCAAGAACTCATCTATCAAAAAAAAAGATGAGCTGGGCATGGTGGTGCAGACATTTTGTCCCAGCCACTTGGGAGGCTGAGGCAGGAGGATTGTGTGAGCCCACAGAGTCAAGCCTGCAGTGAGTCAGGTTTTTACCACTGTGCTCCATCCTGGGTGAAAGAGCAAAACCCTATAACAACAACAACAACAATCAGTTTTGACATCATGGGTCTCCTAGGGAACCTCAGGGGTCCACAAACCACATTGGGAGAACCACTGGTTTCCTAAATGATCACATAATGTGTTAGTTTTTAAAGTTCATTAAAGACTGGCCCCTTTTAAAATAAAAAGGCAATTAAGTCTGTAACACAAACTACTTCAGCAAACATAAAGTATAATAAAGAAAGGTTTGGGAAATCTTAATTGATTCTTAAAAATTCTAAAATCTTTATTGACAACAACTACTGCTTTCTCAAATGTTCTTGTGTTCCACCATGAGGTTAGAGGAGTAAAACTAGATATAGTTTATTACCATTGCCTGTCAGCGGGGGTCAGTATTTAAAGGCAAGTCTGGCTCATCAATGTAGAAAAGACTTCCCAGTTCAGAACGCGATGTGCTGATGAAAAAGAGGTCAAGAAACCCTCTGAAGGCCAGGATCCAGGAGAAAAATTGGCAACAACAGTTTTGGTGAACAAACTTTATCAAAGCAAACAAGAAGTATCTCCCTCCACCCTCCATGCCCTACTCCCAGCAGATACTTTACTAAGATATTAACAATTTCTGAATTAATTTTTTAATGTACATTCTTCTTTTATAGATATGCAAATAGATCTCTGGCTATTTTTGATGAGACAATACATCTACTTTCAGTAAGTGTCACGTTCTCTGAGGTTCTGTTTATGTCTTATAGAGTTGTGTTTATTTCATGATGAAGTCAAAATCACCCACCATTAGGTCTTCACTAAGTTGTGTCTAATCATCTTACGTAAGGAGTGTTGTAAATTGGACACACTGGAGTAAGAGCTGACTTACAGCTTTGTTTAATTTGTGCACTAAGGGGAATAAACATACCATCCAAATAACAAAACGTGTCATTTTAAAAGAAAAATTGTTATAGCAGCAAACAATATAAATATTTGTAAGTAGTCCTAACAAATATGCACAAACTCTGTGAATAGAATAAGAAAACAATTTAAATTTAAATTTGTTTAAATGCTATAAAACTTAAAAACTTCCTTCTTCAAGCATATGATAGCCACAGGGCCACCTTAGCACCTATGTCTACAGAAAACCAAAAATATTTTAAGATCCTACTGTTTATATTTTTAGAACTAAAAGACATTTTATCCCAGCAAAATTATTGCAAGGGACACATGAGCACAAATTTGAACATTGCCATCTTAAGAGTACTTAAGAAGTTTTCTTGAATGAATATTTATATTGCCATTTTTCTTCTTTCAGCAAGAAAAGATTCCAGGGAAATCCTTTGAGGATGATCCCACACACCACTGCATTTTCAGATATTTCTGTACTCTTTTTTTCTAGTCACAAAACTAACAGCTCCATGTGCGATCGTAGCTTTGGTAAGCTATTTCTTATCTATAAAGATCTTTAATAACTGGTCTTTTACACAGTGTATGGCCGCGTTTCTAAATAAAAGTAGGTTCCTAAAGTTATCATCAGATATTTTAAGAGAAGCCTATGCAAGCAAAGTAAATACACATATTAGAGTTTAATCATTGTCATGTTTTAAAATGATGCCATTGCTTTTCTTATCAGAGAATAATTGCTACTAAAAGCAGCAGGAGAGGCTTCTGGTTTCTCCCTCAACAGATTCCAATGTAGGTCTAAGCTGAGTTCCCAGCTGTTCCTGTGAAGTTGAACCCTGGGAGGGAGGGTTATTCCTTGGATACCCGACAGTGCCGACTTTTGGAGAAAGGGAGCAGCATCTCTCATAAGAACATGTAATGTTCAAGGGCCATGTGATTTGGAAAACACAGTTGACTTTGGAGAACATTGCCAGATCTGAGCCGCCAATCTGATAATGTTCAGACAATAAATGAACTCTCTTAAAATGAAGTGTTTTCTTTTCACCTTGATACAAAGACTTCAAGTAGCATAGAGTCATATTCTTCTACAGAGCACCCTCTGAGGTAGCAACACCTCACAGCTTATCTTTTTAACCTTCACTCAGCTGGTCTCTCACCCAGTTCTTTATAGGATAGAGGTTGGATAAAGAGAGAATACTTTCTGAAATAGTTTCTGAGATTATCTCACAAACTGCTTGACCGGTTTAGAGACACCCCAAGGATACAGAGGCCGGCAGCTCTCTCTGCCTTCAAACCCACAGAATTGACTGAATGCAGATACTGTAGGACAAGAAATAAGTTTTCGTGAAGTGATTGTGGAGACATGGAAAACAGGGGCTGTGAGCAGGACCCTCCATTCATTCACATGCATTTCCCATCAAGGCAGTGAATACAGGGACTGTTTCTCTGCAACAGAGACCTGCCCTTGTCATGCTGTCTGCGCGGCAGGCACTGGGAGGCACTCTTGACCCACAGTTCCTAAGCCTGTGTCCCAAGAGCGGGTTAGTTATTGTGAAAAGGAGAAGACAGCAGTGTTCTCAGTATGGCTTGGGTGCTATAACATTCGAGCATGGCACACCTGGAAAATTCCTATCTACGTGCCAGCCAGGTGTGACGCTGCATGCGGATGGCACTGTAGTGCTTCCTGAACAACCTTAATTCCCACAAGGCCTGTGTTTGTGCTGCCTTTCATGAGTGTGAAGGTGCCGAAGGTGCCTTTCTTCATGCTCACATTCCTGTGAGTGAAATTGGCATGGAAATATCTATGGGCAGAGTATGCTGCAGAGGTATCTGACTATGACTGTGACTTGGCCTCTCGCTTTGTCTGAGCAAAGTCTCTGCAGAACATAAGAATAAAAGGCACTTACTTTCTGGCCAAAACCAGAAGTGTTTCATTCTGAAATGTTCTTATCACCACACTGAAACAGAACTGAAATCAAAGACAAGTGCTCTATTTTGCAGGTGTACATTGAACACCTTTTAACTAACGCTAACATCGATCTTTGTCCTACTAATTGGAAAAAAATTGTCCTCGGAGCCATGCTTCTGGTCTCCAAGGTTTGGAGAAATCATGTTCTGTGGAGTGTGGATGACAGCCAGAATCCCAAGAATGTTGCAGTTGAGACCATGTGAGTTTCTAAGGTTTTGGCAAACTTTGTCATCATTTTCCATGCCTCATTTGCTCTTCAAGTCATCACTGTAAGAAATATCTTTATAGGTTTCATTGTGCAGATAAAGGAAATAGGCATAAGACCACAGACTTCAATCTATCCAGCCTTAGTTTAACAGTTTGTATTTTCTAGCATAAATGGGTAAGTCTCAATGTGTTATTGTTGTAGCAACTGGCTGATAAACTGGAAAGTGTTCTTCTGATTGTTTTTTGGCAAACCTCTTACAAGTGTGCTGTCAGAATGACACAGTACAGTAAATATCTTTATAGCTTTTTAGAAGCCGCCTGCCAGTTTCAGTCCCCTTTAAAGGGGCAAACATCTGGCCTTTGAAATAATTGGCCACTGTTAAGGTCTTAAGGTCTCTGGACTATTCAGAAGTTACAGCTTTAACCTAAGTCACCCATTGTGTATTTGCTTTTGCTGGTCCTTGTCTCCCCCTTTAATCTGAAGATCAGTTTTTATAGGAACCTTCAGATATGATGTTAAATAGCTACAGATTTCTGTGCCCTGGCTCCTCCCCATTGGGAACATTGCATGTGTTTCGAAATTAGTCTGATGAATTAGAAGCTTCCGCGTTCACCTCCCACAGTGTGAGAAGCATTTCTGGGGCATCACCCCATGCACACCACACTCACAGGCTCCCTGGGTACTCAGACATTCACAGTAGCAGGCTGGGGGCCAGTAGTTGTTTATGAGAGTGGGGGGAGCCTTGCAAGGTGATGGGGTTTCTCCCAGATGCACCACGTGACATTGAAACACAGCTTCCCTAGGGTTCCCTTCCAATTTGGCCTTGTGACTGCTGTGAAGTGAAGGGCCCTGAAGCAGGCAGGCAGGGTGAGCAGGGGATCATTTCCAGCAGAGCTGCCCTGGGTGCCCACTGGACAGTGAGGACAGCTGTGTCGGCTGCATCTGGTGCAAGATGAGGGAGCAGCTCTTGTTTACATTGAGCAGCAGCAGAAAATATGATGCCAGGCAGTGGCACAAGTTAGTTTTGTGATCTTTGCCCGTGACTTCAGATAGGACTGTTACTCAGAATCACCTCAGTGTATGTCTACAATTGAAGATACAGTGTATAATGTAGATATACTGCAGTGTGTATATATCTACATTCAAAAATAACCACTTGGCACCTGAACTCAGTGGCTCATGCCTGTAATCCCAGCCCTTCAGGAGGCTGAGGTGAATGGATCAGTTGAGCGCAGGAGTTCAGACCTGTTGGGTAACACAGAAGTAGTGAACCTTGTCCATACAAGAAATTTTTTAAAAAATTAGCCAAGTGTGTTGGCAGGTGCCTGTAGTAGTCCCAACTAGTTGGGAGTCTGACGTGGGAGAATTGCCTGAGCCTGGTAAGTTTATGTCGTAGTGAGCTGTGATCATGTGACTGCACTCCAGTCCTGGGTGATGGAGCCAGACTCTCTCTCAGAAACAACAACAACAAAAGCATTTTTGCCACCACTTTGCTAAGAGTGTAAACCAAGTGATCATTGTGATATTTGTGGTAGCCATTTTAGCAAAGAATGTGACAGCAAATGAATTTGAAACAAATGGAAGTACTTTGAAAGTTGCAAATGCTAAAGTGACTTTAATCCTAGTCATCCATTTGCAAATTGGTCCCTCGAAGGAAGCAAGATTTGTGACTGCCTGATTTCTTCTTGCCTGCTGCCTAGCCAGAGCTGATTTATCAATACAGGATAATTGCAATAGAGAAAGAGTTGAATTCATGCAGAGACAGGTGTACGGGAGACCAGAATTTTACTATGACTCAAATTAGTCTCTCTGAAAACGCTGGGATGATTTTTTAAAAGAATAATTTGGTGGGTATGGGGTCAGAAAATGCGGAGTGCTGATTGGTCAGGTTGGTGATGATATCATAGGGAGCTGAAGCTGTCCTCCTGCATTGAGTTGGCTCCTGGGTGGGGGCCACAGAACCAGATGAGCCATGTTCATTTGTTGGGGTGGTGCCACCTGATCCCAGTACAGAGTCTGCAAAATATTCAAGCACTGATTTTAGGTTTTACAATAGTGATGTCATTCCCAGGAGCAATATGGGGAGGTTCAGATTCTTGCAGCCTTCAGCCTCATGACTCCTAAGCCACAATTTCTAATCTTGTGGCTAATTTATTAGTTCTGGAAAGGTCATCTATCCAGTCCCCAGGTGGGAAAGGGGTTTGTTTTGGGAAAGGGCTGTTACCATCTTTGTTTCAAAGTTAAACTACAAACTAAGTTCCTTCCGAAGTTAGTTTGGCCTCTGCGTAGGAATGAACAAGGACACCTTGGAGGTTAGAAGTCAGATGAAGTCAGATCAGCCCTCTTTCTCTGTCATAATTTTCTTGGATACAAGTTTTGCAAAGGTGGTTTCAAATTTGCAATCATGAACACTTAGTTCTGCCATCTTGGCAGCTGAATTGTTCCCAAAACTTGTAGCTAAGCTGGCTGGGGCTCTGATTTCTAGTTATAAGATCAGAGAGCATGTGGGGATATGTGCAGCTTTCCACAGAAGTGAGCTCCAGGAGCAGCGGAGGCAGAGGCCAGCCCCAATAAGAGAGGTTCCAAACAGAGCTGTTCATGTATGAGAACAGAGAAACACCAGGAGCTATGCTCCAAACAGCCTGCTTCTGTGTATGGTCTTGGGAAGCTGAAAAGCATTACGTCCAAGCGCTTGATAGCCATGTGTCTCACCCCACTGCTGTTAACTGTTTGCAATCATCCCATTTTGAGTGTCAATTTAATAGATAAAAACTGCTGTCCATCCAATTTTTCTTAAAACTTTTCAACATCTACGTGTGTCCCTAGAATATATTTTCTTTCTAGAGAGTAAAACTGAGTAGCCACTATTCAGAAATGCTGTGTCATAAAGGGTATGCTATGCAATCACCTAGCCTTTTCAAAATCCAGAAATCCTAGAAGATGCATAGTCTGTACACAGAATTCTTCTCTTCAGCACTTACACCTCTATTAATAAATACGTTAATTCTGTGAAGTGCCTTTAATTCTGATAGTAAGTCAAGTCCTGATTAGCTGTCTATTCAAATATGGTTTGATTTACCTTTCTATAGACTTATGGACATATGAACAGGAAATTAATTTTGGAAGTAGGTTCAGTTGGGTTTTAAGTTCAGCAAATGAGATCCCCACATCTTGGCTCATAGTCTAACTGCCTCCCGCTTTCAAGCATTTTTTAACTTAGCCAGTGGGTAAAATGTTAAAACTTTCAAACCAAGAAACCAAATGTATTGTTTAGATATTGATCATTTTTAATCAATTAACTCATTACAGGGGTTACTCTGAAAGCAGCCAGAATGACTCTAACTGTGTACCTATTAATTTAGCCTTGGTGAGGGCAGCTGGATGATGGTGAGGCAGAGGACGGCTCCCAGTTCTTTCCTCTCCCATGGCATCCAACTTCCCCACATTCTGTTCTGCCCAGAGGTGACAGTTGCTGAGTTCTTCAGGGTTACATTCCCAACTCAAGAGCAACACTGCATGTGTTAAGGCCAGGGCCCTACTGTAAATCACTTTATAAAATGAGTTTAGTCGAGCCAAAATGTCTGTCCTTGACTTTTCTGCCTTTCAAATTGTAAATGTTATTCTTCCCCAGTCTCTGCATAATATTAAGGTGAGCAGAAACCTGCATTATGCCTCCTTGACATAGCCTTGTGTGCTGGAGAAGAGGGAAGGGGATTCTTTTTGCCATGAAATATATTTTGCTTATGTATTTATTTGGGATGAATCCTCCTTGTAGCCTTAGAGTTTTTCCTCCTCCGAGGTAATAAGGTAGGTCTCCATGGGTCCATTTGTGGCCATGGTGATGTGCCCCATCTTTCCTTTGGTGCTTCTCTACTTCAGTAAGTCTCTTCTTGTTATCATACTGGTAATTACGCCTGGAGCTTCTTCAGAGCTAGTAAATGGTATCTATCATTCCTGTCATCTGATCGTGATTGCAGGGTTTGTGAATGAGCACGGAGTCTGAGTTATGCAGCTGCTCTAAGGGAACTGTGAAGAATGAGCCCCAGGTGAGCAGGAGGAGTGCAGGAGGCCTCTACCTATCCCTCACCTTAAACATGGGGTGCCGGGATGCTGAAGAGACCCCAAGCAGCTGTGCGTTGTTTGGACATTAGTGTAAGGACCCGACCAGGCAGCCTTTATTTGTTTCAAAACAGAATTTGGAGACTCCTAGTAGCTCAGAATGATATTTTTAAAGACAACCCACTTGACTAAAATTGCCGTGTTGGCTTTATTGTGTTTCTCCTCCCCCAGGAGTAAGATGGAGAAGAGTTTTTTGGAGCTACTTGAATTTAATATTCATGTGTCTGCCAGTGTTTATAGGAAATATTACTCTGACCTGCGTGCCTTGGCATACGACCATGACCTGTATTTTTCATTTCGTCTTTTTCACAAAGATAAAGCAGAGAAATTGAAGGTAAGGCTGTGAAGTCACTTAGTGGAGTTTCCCATCGGCCACAAAAGCCAACATCTGTGACAAAATCATATTAAGAATTGATTAGGAAAATGAAAGCCTTAGAATTAACAGACCAAAGTGCTTATTTCTTTGGCATGATATTTCTTGTCTTTTATGCTTTATACAAGGATCCTTATTATTGTTGTTGTTATTATTTTATGAGAAGGAGTTTTGCTCTTGTTGCCCAGGCTGGAGTGCAATGGTATGATCTCAGCTCACTGCAACCTCCGCATCCTAGGTGCAAGTGATTCCCCTACCTTTGCCCCCCGAGTAGCTGGGATTATGTGCATGCACCACCATGCCCAGATGTTTTGTATTCTTATTAGAGACAGGATTTCTCCATGTTGGTCAGGCTGGTCTCGAACTCCTGACCTCAGGTGATCTGCCCGCCTCGGCCTCTCAAAGTGCTGGGATTACAGGGATGAGCCACTGCACCTGGCCAAGGACCTATATTTTAAAAAATTATTGATATTCTCACTGCTTTGACCATAATTCAGAATATTTTTAATTAAATTTAATCTGTTTTTAATGGGTTTTGTTTTTAATCTCTACCTGTTCACATAACATTCGTGAATAAATGCAGATGTATTCCTAAGTATATCTAAATAGACAATGCACTTACCGCTCTTGACTGTCTTTTACTTAAGCAGTTTGCAATTTTGTGTCCTTGTCTATTCTGTATATCTCGGTGCAGTCCCAGGAGTTTATTAGACAAAGCAGTAGTGGCTGAGAGACTTGTGCTTAGACTGTATAAGGTGCCAGTGTTTCCAGTACTAGGTGTAGGAAGGACAGGGGTTTTTAATGAAAATGGCTTCATGGGACAACATAAGATTTATGGCTTGTGACTCTTGGTGAGTATACAGGAAAATTACAACTGAAATAGACATATTTAAAATTGGCACTGTCTCTGGTGTCTTGGTGGTACTTTGGAATACATTTATCTACCACAATGTGCAAGTAAAGTAGCACCTTTTGGTGCTTCAATCATTAGACTTCTTGGATGTTCCAAAACCGCCCAGCACTCACCTGCCTCATTAAAATCTGCTTGGAGTGTGTAGTAACTACTAAGGATTGGGTAGAATTTGAACCGCTGAGTATGTTGACTGTTTGGCACAAGTGTATGCTGATTATGTTGAAGGAACAAGTGCACAGGTGACAGATAATATTGTTACAAGCTTGTCACAGTACTCTTAAAATCTTTAGGAGCCCTATTTTATTTTTTACATGACAGTATCATCAAGCAATGAGCCCAATTTTAAAACTGTGAAGTAAGTTCCTCTTGGCACTGGCAGTCTTTTCAGAGTTCTTAAAGGAGACGACCTTAGTGAATGGACAGGAAGTTGCATCCTCAGAACCTGGCCGAGTGTAAACCTCAGCCAAAGCAGGTGCAAGGGAACCCTCTAAAGGAATCTGTATGTGTGGCTTCTTATCAATGATGCCTTTTAAAAAATGTTGGAGCCTTTTAAAAATTGTGCCTGTTTTCTCTTTGATTGACTTTCCTAGGCTATGTCACGGCCGTGTGAATACAAAGATCTGCATCAAGATGTCACCGCTATGACAAGGGCCATCAGCATGGATTTCATCGGCATTTAGCATACTAATGCCATCTTACCTTAAAGAGAGAAATTAGCATTATAAGGTCCTGGACTTGTCAACTATAAGGACTACAAAATGTCACTTCTCCTGCTGAAAAAGACCAGCAAAATTAGGATTTTCTTTTTTCATGTTTTTTCAAAAAATTTTTATCGTTGTTTTTGTTGCTGTTGTTGTTGTTGTTGATTAGGATTTTCATAGAGCAGAGACTTCTTCAAATAACCATACTGTGAAGCTAGGCGATGGTGGCATGAACAGTGGGTGCCAGGTGCTACCTGCCCTTCTTGTTCCACTGAGTCCAGATGGCATTCCTAGGGCACCATCTTCTTGAACAACTCTTGGGGAGGAAGACTGTCACATGGACACAGCACATCCCAGTCCAGAGTCCACAGTCACCCGCAGCCCCAAGCAGGTGACAGTCTGAGCTGAGCTGGAATTCAAAAAACTTTAGAATTGGCTCCAGATTTGTGAGAGTACCTGGGTTTGGATCTCTGTCCATGGAGGCACTGAATGCATGATGGCTGGAAACAACAACTGTGGGAAGAGAGAATGGCATGGGGACAAGGCTGTCATTACTCCAAGTACCATGGGAGCGCAGGCCTGTTCATCTAGTCTTTGGAGGGAATCTGTGCATGTGAAATGAGGCTCCCACATCATGGTTATAAATGGAGAGATGAAATCAGCCCATCTTCCCCCAGGCCCACAATGGTCATGCCAAAACACAGAGTCTTGCTGTGTGGCCAGGCTGGAGCGCAGTGGTGAGATCTCGGCTCTCTGCAACCACTGCCTCCTGGGTTCAAGTGACTCTCCTGCCTCAGCCTCCCAAGTAGTTGGGACTACAGGCATGAACCACCAACCCAGCTAATTTATATATTCTTAGAGACAGGGTTTCATCATGGTGGCCAGGACAGTCTTGATCTCTTGACCTCGTGATCTGCCTGCCTCAGCCTCCCAAAGTGCTGGGACTACAGGTGAGAGCCACCGTGCCCGGCCTCTTGCATTTACGTTCACAATAAAGTGGTTTGGAATATCCCACTGTTGATTTGCAATTTCCTCCTCTAAACTTGGTCTGTGGCGTTGTATACATAATTAAATATTTTCCTGTATTGATATTTTGTGTCTGAAGATGAAAGATTCGATGAAACATGTTAAAACAGTTTGTGCAAAGCCTTTGGTGGTTGTGAGCCTACTCTTTGGTGAATGCATGAATTAATCTATTTTAAATATAAAATTTTTATTAGATGTGATAATGATATTTTCTCTTTTATCTTCACTTGTTAGATGAGAATAAATATGGAATACATTCTTCCATAATCAATGATATTGTATCTTATATTTCATGTAAAAATCTTCTAGAATATTTGGAATTGATAGTTGAAATTATACAGCAAAATGAGAATTACTGAAACCTAATGACAATGTACTTATGATGGGTTTATTATTATTATCTCTATCATTGTTAATTTTTGAAGTTTCCATGGAAAACTATACTATGAACTTAAAATTTTCTATAAAACCCTTCGTGCCCTGCACTTCAGCTCCAATGCATAATGAATAAAGGAAAATGGATTCTCCTGCGGGGATTCTGCTGGACTCTTCCTTTCTTTTCCCTTTAACCTGCGGGGAACGTCTTGAGGTCACCATGGGGTGAGGCAACCATGAGTGGGGACCCTAGAGCTGCCGCTGGGAGGAGTGTGTATGTGGAGATGGGCTTCATGGCCACGTTTCTTCCTCCGGTCTTTTGGTTGTGATGGTGGCTCTGAGGATGGTTTCTGAGGATCCTGTCAGGAGAGTCCCTTGCCTGTGGTGTCTCCCTGGGGGAAGGCCCGAGGATATCTGGAGAGGGTTTCATAGGGTCGGCCCTGTGTGACAGAGGTGCCTTGTGCGTTTTAGGGGCCCTGGAGCCGCATCTCCCCTGTAGGGTGGGCGGGATGTCTGAGGGAGTGCTGGAGGGAAACCCTGTGTGTCGGGGTCACTGTGCAGTCTCAGTACAGCCCTGACCTGGGGAAGTCATGATGGAGACTCAGAGGTGCTTGGGGCAGGGAAGGGGCGGCCTGGGCAGTCACCAAGGTGTGACAGCATCGCTGATGCTATCAGGCAGTTTTGGGAGGGGTCTTTGGAGGGGAATAATTGTGAAGTCCCCACAGGCGGGGAAAGTTTGAGGGTGCTCCAAGGCTGGAGGTCAATGCGGGGTGGGTGGGAATAACCTAGGGGAGATCTCAGGGGAATAATGAGCCCCCCCAGGGGTCAGGAGTGCAAGGAAGGGGCCTCAGCAGGTTCTGTTTTGCAGGGTTCTTCTGTAGGGCATCTGAGAGATGGAGCCCTGGGGCTCCTGAGGTCGCCGGTACCCCAGGTGGGATGTTTTCCAGGGTCAGACCTTCCGGGGTCCTGGAGCAAGGAAATGAAATTGGCTTCTTCCTTTCCACCACCTGGTTGGCGCTTGGCAAACTCCCTTTGGGGAGTCCTGGGGCTCCTGGGCGGGGAAGCTCCTTGAGCCCTGGGAGACAGAGGGGCCACCCCTTGAAAGCCAGCAGCAGGAACAGATGGAGCTCTGCACCTCTGCATTTTTTTATTGTGGAATTGGAATTTGGTTTTCTTGGCGATGGTGCAGGTCTGAGGGTAGGTCCAGCTCTCCCCCTGCTCCTTCTATGTTAGACACAGTGTTCATTGCAGATCTGACCCCCTGGGCTGGCACTAAGGGGACCACGGCCTGGTGCAGGGTGATATCCAGGCTCCAGGGACTGTCAGGGGCCATCATCACCCTGTGAGCACCAAGTCTACCCCACAGCTCCTGCGCTCGCCAAGGAGGGCACATAGCACCCAACGTAGACCCACAGCCTGAGCTCCTGAGATTCTTTTTATTTCTGACACAGAGTCTTGTTCTGGAACCAGCCATGCCAGGTAGGGATAGAAACAGAAGTAATGCGGAGGGCTGGGAAAAAAAGAAAAGAAAAGAAAAGAATAAAAGGCAAATTATTGAAAGTGGTAGTCATGAAATATGTGGTTTTGCATTGGATTTCATTGTTACTTTGGGTTTAGAATGAGTGACTGAATGTGGTTTTAGGACTGGGATAGGCAACTGTAAAGCTCCAGGCAACTGGGCCCGGGAGGGTCTTGCTGACCTTCCTGTGAGATGCTTTTTTGAGCTGTGCTTGATAAAGGATATGCCCAACCCTATGAGTACAGCATCACATTCCTAACACTTTGTGAGTCACAGCAGTCTTCAACAAATTAAAATCATTTCCTTTGCTTTTCTGACCTGGTTCAATGAATCACATGGTTCCTGCCCATTAATTCCCCTAGGTCAATCACCAAACACGTGCCTGTTAGCTTGCTGCCTCCATTTTCTTTATTATGCTTTGAACTGGACAAAAAATATATTTCATTTTTACCATCTGTAACTTGGGTTTCTGAAAGTCCATAATCTGTGATTTAAAATAGATAAATGAATTATTATTATTTTTGATAATTTAAATTTGTATACTTAGATGCCAAAAACACCTTTAGGATTTTTCATCTGACACTTATTAGAATTATGTCATCTAGATGGAAAGGTCTCAGGTGCTAGGGGGAGAGAAACTCAGCCCAGGGGCCAGAAGACATGGTCTGTTACTCTTCAATCAGCTGCTGGAATGGGGGGCAGGACATAAGTTTTTTAAGCTTCCCTATGAGCAAAGCAAGAGAGTTGACTAAATGACCCCTAAGATCATTCCTGGAGCTGAAGTTCCATGAAACTAGGAGATCTACTAGTTTACAAAGGAGGGATCTGAAGCCTATCAGGGTTGAAATCATTGCCTAAGGTCAACACCAAGCCAGATGTCAAGTGTCCTGATCTTTGGTCCTTTTTTTTTTTTTTTAATTAATCCACCTAATACAACTCTATTATTATACAAGGATCCAGCAAACAAGGGAATTAAGGCCTGAAGAACAATTTATTTCTATATTATATGACTATCTGATGGTAAAGGTAAGAACAGAACTATTTTGCTTTTCAGTTCACAGATGTTGCCTCTATTGAATAAAGGTCAGCATTGACTGGAGAGAAAAAAGTTAATAAGTAGGATGATGGAAGAGCACAACGGATAGAGGAATGACCAATAAAATATTTAGGAAAACAAGTGGAAACAATTTTACTGTAATTGGCTAGTGGTCATAGAATTAGTGAATAGAGGAAATGGATTAAATAAGATCAGTCTCATTAAACTGCATAGATATTAAACTGAGGTAACTTTTAATTTATTATAAACTCTCCTTTCATCCAATTTCTCATTATAAGCATGCTTGTGAACTTGTTCATTTGGTAGAAATATTGTGGCTAAAGACGAGACTAAAATCAATATAATCCCTAAATTGTGTGTCAGTGTCAGCCGGAGTCTTCAGATAGATGATACACTGCTTCACAACACTATATTCATTACATGAATGGCTTTCAAATGATTGATTCTTGGCTCCATCCTCTTACCTGAAAGGCATTTAGGTATTTAAATGATACAACTGCTACTTCCAGTTGGTTTCTCTTTTTTAAGATTTGTGTTGTTTCTCTAAAGAAAGCATTGTAGGCCAGGTGCGGTGGCTCATGCCTGTAATCCGAGCACTTTGGGAGGCCGAGGCAGGTTGATCACAAGGTCAAGGAATCAAGACCATCCTGATCAACATGGTGAAACCCCGTCTCTACTTAGAAATACAAAAAATTAGCTGAGCCTGGTGGCACGTGCCTGTAATCTCAGCTATTCAGGAGGCTGAGACAGGAGAATTGCCTGAACCCAGGAGGCGGAAGTCACGGTGAGCCGAGATCACGCCATTGCACTCCCACCTGGGTAACAAGAGCGAAACTCCGTCTCAAAAAAGAAAAAAAGAAAGCATTGTAAGTTTGAATAATAATTAATTCTAGTAGTTCTGGGCATAGCTTAGGATTCCTTCTTTCTAGCTCCACACTCTTCCTATAACTCATTTTCTAACATGTTTGGTGGCTGAAGGAAAAGACAGTTTATGCTTTGAAAGGAATAAGAGAAAGGTAAAAAAAAAAAGAGAAGCAGTAATTATTGCATACATTACCTATCAGGCAGTAAAGTGTGTTTACATACATTTCTCTTTAATCATCAGGATATCCCAAAGAGCTTGCAACTATTATTTCGACTTCACAGATGAGGAAAGGTGAATTAAGAGGTCAAATTATATAGTCACAAGGTCACATACTTTCTAAGTGACTTGGGAGTCCAGAATTAAGGTTTATATCTTCCTTTAATTCTCATTCCATGAAATTTTTATATTTGGAACATCTAAAAGGCTTTGAAATAAAAGACATCCCTAAAACCAATCACTAATAAAGAATGTCTCAAATTAAGATTGAGATCAACAAGCACACAAATGATTGCAATCTATTTTAAGCTACGGCCTGATCAAGGCACTATATGGCCTTCAATCAGAGCAAGCTGACTTTGCAGCTGTCTAATAAGCAGACAGTAGTGCAGATGTTGTCTTAGAAATGATTATGTATTTATAAATAACACTGTAATTTGGATAAATACACACAGAATAAGCAACTAAGAATCATGCCCATATAAAAGAAGCTAAGGAACTTCCAGCTGTGCTAGCTCAAAACCAGCAGATATGGTTCACGTTGTAGATTTGTCAAGTAATCATGGCAGCATCTTATAAATACATGAACATGAGCAAACAGCAAGTCAAAAAATTGCTCTTATTTTTTTTCAGATTGTTCCTGTAGAGACAATAGATGCTGTAATGCAGAAACAGAGATGACATCAATAGATATTATGGGAACTCACTAAATTCAGACTATACAGGAAAAGACTGTTTAAGAAGAGTAAAAGATTATTTTGGAATGAATTATGGAGTATTTTTTAAAGAAATGTAATTTTCTTCCTGTTTCCTTCTTGTTTATTCACATTTACAGAAAATGTTTAAAGGTAATTTAAGAGACTCATTATGATTTGAAAATTGTTCTGATCCTCCTAGCACCCAACATACACTAGTATTTTTCAATATATAAGCACACATTTCCCATCAGGATGTTTACAAATTGGAATTAAATAGACCCAGTAGTTTCAGGCTTGCATTAGAGATAAATAAACACCATAAGCAAAAGCCCTTTAAATCTCCCAACAAAGGGGACTTTCACGTATAATGTGTTATTTCATTTCTAACCACTTATCAGTTTGGAATTAATTTATTGACATTGGGATAATGCCTAAATCAATTATATTTTAGGCAATAATGCAGAAAAAAATCATACTCCATTTCCACTCATGAAACAGATAATAGAGTAGGGATCTGGTCGTCTGCAAAGCCTGAGTCCTGTCCTCTTGCTCTCCTCCACGGGTAGCATGAGCTTCACCACTCTCTCCACCTTCTCCACCAACTACCGGTCCGTGGGCTCTGTCCGGGTGCCCAGCTACGACGCCCGGTCGGTCAGCAGCGCGGCCAGCGTCCATGCAGGCGCCGGGGGCTCTGGTTCCCGCGTCTCCATGACGCGCTCTGCCAGCTTCCGGAGCGGCATGGGGGTCGGGGGCCCGGCCGCGGGGATGGCCAGGGGTCTGGCAGGAATGGGAGGCAT